TGCAAAGAGCAAGGTTGGTACAAGTGGATTTACCTTTTGAGAAACAGTGCTGTTGGGAATTGAGTGAAAACTCACAGTCCCAGGAAAGTTTTTTGTGAGCATAGAATCAAACATCTTGGCCATATCTGACTCATTGTAAACTGCTCGATAATTCCTAATATTTTTCTTATCTTCTAGTTTATGTATTAAAGATGTTTCGTGATGGGATTGCTAAAGTGTATAGACATTTGTGTATAAACGATAAAGGTATCCCATCAGGTCCAATTGTGAGCTTAGGTGCAACAGAGAGAACGTAATCTATTATATCCGTAGCAGTAGTACTATAATTGTTGATATAGAATTTATTTTCAAAATTATATTCAGGGGTGAAATTCATTGTCTGGTTATTATATACAATTGAAAAATAAGAGGCAAATAAATTAACAATTTCAAAAGTATTATTATAGACTTTATTCCCATTCTTTCATAGACTTCGAATCATATTAGACAATGGAAGTCCGAACTAATAAAATGTGAACACGTCGCTCTGTAACTACATTTCGACAGGTATCATCATATCTCTTCATTTTCTTCAGAAAAGTGCACCTTAAGAAACCCATTAGATTAAAAGTGGCATTAAGCGCCGTTAGCACGTTCTAAAAAATGTACACTGCCGTTTATTACCTTAATTTTTCCACACGCACCTTGGTACAGTTTTTAATCACATCCTGTATCCCATAATAACGAACGTCTATTATCATAAATTGCAACTTATATACAATATATTTCTTACTGAAAGAGACTTAAGTAGGTATAAATTCTAATGCATTTGTGGCTTTCCTAGCAGACTAATGTTTAATGTATCCATAAGCCGTTAGGAAATATTTTCACCTGGTGTCTGCGGTTCAGCTGGGTGCACTACTTCCAAGAGGTATAACTCGTGCGTAGTTGAAACTATTTAATTCGATTTTTGTCTTTCTAGAGCAAGTTTAATAGGTTCGCTTCTTGCTAGAGTTGGGCATGGAGTATCGGGTGATTTTTTAAGAGGTATATGATTTTATTTAAAAAAAAAACACAAGAAATTGATGAAATTTTTATTTGAATTGATAGAATGATCAATATAATTTAATTTTTAAAGATGACTTCATGCGAATGTTGTCCGAAGCACCGCTTTAGATGGCCCATGCGCAAGGTCCAATTTTGGCACACTCTCTCTAACATTTCGACGTATAAATGCTTCAATATTGGGTCGTTGCTGAGTTATCCCTGTAGATATGAGCCTTAACATGACTCCACAAGAAATAATCCAAAGGCGTTAAATCACACAATCTAGGAGGCCATTTGACGGGCCCCAAACGTGAGATAAACTGTTCACCGAAGGCGGCTCTTAATTGGGTCATTGTTTCGCGTGCCATGTGGCATGTGGCACCGTCTTGTTGAAACCTATGTCAGGCATGTCCAATTCTTCTATTATGGACAACAAAAAGTCGTCAATCACACGGTCGCATTCACAGTAACATTTCAGCATTTGTCGTCTTTGAAGAAGTACGGCTCGATGATGCCACCAACCCATAATCCACACCAAGCAGTGACTTTTTCGGGATGCATCGGTAGCTTTTGCGATGCTTGTGGCTGGTCTTTACTCCAGATGCGGAAATATTGCTTGTTAACGTATCCATTCAACCAGAAATGAGCCTCGTCGCTGAACACAATTATTCGATAAAAATGTGGATCTTCTTTCAACTTAGCTAGCGCCCATTCACCAAATGTTGAACTTTGTCAAAGGTCGTGTGGCTTCAATTCTTGCACCAGCTGTATCTTATAAGGTTTTACACCCAAATCCTTTCCCAAAATTTTCCACGTAGTAAAGTGGAGGCCCAATTGCTGCGAACGGCGGCGAATCAACATTTCACGGTCATCACGAACACTGGCGAATATAGACGCAATATTTTCTACTGTTCTCACTCTAAGTATGCGTGTTGGTGGTTTAATGTACAATAATGTGAACTGGGTTCGAAATTTAGTCACAAGCTTCCGAATAGTAGGCCGACGAAACTGCCCATAAATTGGAAGAAGTGCACGATGCAGTTTCTTCACCGAGCATGAATTTTGATAATAAAATTCAATATAATTTGCAAACTTTGTTCATTCACAAGTCGATCCATGGTTGAATTATAGACAAAACTGAACAAGTTTGAAGATGACACAAGACACGATTCACGCGTGATTTGTCGAAAACAGTGTTGCCAAAAAGATACCAGCAAAAAAATCACTCATTACAAACGGCATCAGTGACTGTCTTTTTTGGAATGAGTTTTCACATACTTTGAAATGACAAAATACCAATTTGAAAATGATATTGGTAAGTAATTGCAAACAGTTTGAGGAGGGTGCCAAATGTTGACAGTGTTAACAATTATTAAAAACATATTCAAAAGAACACTTTTATTTGAAACAATTTTCAAAAAATATCAGACAAAAAATTTACAGAAAACGGCAAACAAACCCGGAAAACGTACAGATGGTTTTATAGCAATTTTGTATTTCGCTATTTCTATAATATTCCTGGACTCGAGTGTTAGTGACTTGAAAAGTGTTGGCCAAATTAATGTACAAATCTCTGTGAGTGACGTTTTTGAATGAAGGCAGACTGACAGATATTTTTATAAAAGATCTGGTTTCTGTCTCAATAGTTGTCCTCTGGCAATTAGCTTTGTTGTGAAATATCCTAATTGAACAAGAGTAAGAGTAGAGATTTCTCATGTTGAGTAGGTAGCTTTGTGGTTAAATTTTAATCATTTTCCAATTCGCAAGCAATACTGTACCGAAGGTTGAACAACATAAAGGACACGAAATTTTATTTTAAATTAATCTAATCAATGTAAATAATGTAAATTGATGTAATGTAAATTAAAATTCAGTACTTTTGAACGCATGCAATTTTCACTTTTCTCGATTCTAACTAGGAAATGTTCAGCGGATATATGTAAAACACTAGGCAAGTGAAAGTATCTCTATTATTTTTAAATACTTTCGACACATCGCTGTAAAAATAGTACGACTATTTAAGTTTGGCTCGCTCCATTGCCAAACGAAAATAAATAGAAAACAAAAGCAGGAAAATGCCATCTGCTATTCTTGTGGCGATTTATTTATATTGGGATACTTATGTTTTCATACAAAACCGTTACGAGCATAATTGTTTGTTATTTCTCTTCTTGATTCATCGTAGGATTAAGAACATCTTAATCTCTCATATTACATTCCCCGCACGTATAGTGTGGGCTTTACCTTGCACGACGTTTTTACTGTGACAACTTGCATGTGTTTGCGATGAGTCTAGACTCTATCAAGTAAAGGTTTTGCATTCGTGAAGAAGTTTATGTGGTATTTGTTTTTTGCGATCAACCTACGAGAGATTATAGTGAAAATTTCAAGTAGCAATTTATTGATCGTAAAATCTTAGTACAAATCATGAATTATTTAATACTTAAAGAAACAGAATGGTGGGACATTTTGATACGTTTAGAAAATATTTTATACATTTTTCTCCACTATCACATAACAAGTGAATCATACGCACGTTTCAAATGTTTCATTCAGTGGAAAAATGAATAAAGTACATAGTTTTTCTACAGAAAAAGATGTCTTTTTTGAGTACCACAAAATATCCAAGAATGATCAAGTTCTCGATCATCGATAAATTGATTTCGAGTGATGAAACTGCATAAAAAATATTAAGATATTGAGGGAGACAGGTTAAGACCAAGGAGGGAGAAAAATAATAACAGAAGAGAGGCTCACAAGTCGTATATATTCTCATCTTGAATATACAAGCCTTCATTATTCATTTCAAATAGTTATCAATACATATTACAAACATATCAGAACTCAATTGCAGACTTTTTTTATTATACAGAAAAAGGCTATAACGTTCATTTGTAATACCAAAAGTCGAGATTCCTGCAAACCCTTGTTTAAACTACATGAAATTTTGACAGTCTTTGGAATTATTATTATAGAAACAGTTTGATTGATGACCAAACATAAATTGATATTTAGTGGCTACTCCAATATTCATGCCCTTCGTCAAACTCATGACTGTTTATTCATTCACCTGGCCGTATTAAAATTTTAGAGGATAACCGAAAATTTCGGAAATCACGAAATATTATTTCGTAGATACAATTAAAGTTCAGTTTAGTTTTTTCTAATTCCTTGTCAATATTTGTAGATTATTTTTAATACTTAGATGAAGTATGTGATACTGCATTTTTTATATTTTCAACTTTTACGGTTTTGTTTCTTTCATGTGTAACATCTCTCTTCAGTATTCGTATGTATTGTATGTTTTTCAATGAAATTGTTCAATGTATGTTTGTATTTGTTCAGATATATCTTTTGCTCTATATTCAAGCTATTTTATTGTGAATTGTACTTTATATCTATGTGTATATAATAGGTATACATAGTTTTATAGTGACTGATGAAAATTTACAGCTTTGTCATTGACACCTGTGGCTCTTTGGGCAATTAAGCATATTATTATTAGTATTGAAGTCCTCCATATGAAAGGTGTTGGTAATTGATAATGTAGTTTTCAATATTGAATAAATCGATCATCAAATGGATCATATAGAATCTATGAACATCTATAAAAAATAATCCATTAGAATACTTATTAAGATTGAACTCATGTGTGCTTATGAAAAACAATATAATCTTTTCCGCCTTTTATATAATCAAGTGTTGTTGATAATTCAATTTTTGAACCATTATTAGTTTGTAACGATACAGAGAAATGAATGAAATATATGCCTGATTAAAATCAGTCACCTTATTGTTTCCAAAAAGATAACGGAAGAAATAGAGATGATAGTCTCTGAGAACATCAACTACTCTTAATTCGTTCATTTACAGTTTGTCACCTAGTTATCACTTCTTTATTCAAATAAATTTCACAGGGGTTCAGTTAACCTCGGATTATCATTGACTATTTTTTTTTTGTGTATATTACTCACCTGCATGAAAGTTGTGAAATGGCCATTGGTTTTTACTTTGGTTCTAGGTGGTATTTTATCTTGTTTGTCAAGGTTGATCTGTTGTGTCTCTCCGTATAAAGTTATTTCTGAGCCTCTGAGTCCATTACAGCCTAGATCGGTTTTTATTGGTCCATCTGAAAAAGAAAGTCTATGTAATATCACTGAAAATCAGGTATGTGAAGAAAAGTGATTCCTAATTTATCAAGTATTCTGTTTATCTGAAAATCAGTATTGCCTTTTCCGAAAGAAAACTCACAAGATATCTTCTTCCTTTCTTTTCTTCTGTGATCTAGAATCTCACATTCTTTCAATATGTAATTCTCTACTACTATCGATCTATTACTATCGATTCTCTATTAGTATTCCAAATTTTGAAGAATTCTCTATTAGAAAGATGTTCCATTAGTAGACTTCAATCGTTTATATAGTAAGTAACACAAGTTCAGTAACTTTTTCATTTGGTTTCGTTGAGAAATTTCATCAAGTATTTTTTTCATTATTCCGTAGATAAGGACCTGATGAGAGCCTGAATGAATTACATTAGTTCGGACTTCCATTGTTTAATTATAAGTATATACAATGATTTTAAATCCCTAAAAGAACCAATACAAATGAAAAATAAAAAAATAGCTGAATGTAACAATTATATTGAGCAAAAAAACCCTGAAATAAAATTACAGTAGAATAAAATACAAGTAAAAAAAATAGAACAATTGAAAACAAAATTGATTCCAAACCAAGTTACTTTACGACGTATCGATTGTTAGTATCCACAAACATATTCGGATGATGACTGGATTAATTCCTCCGAGATATGATTATTTATGGATCATTCGCGTACTTTCACTGATCTCTTCTTTCCTCTTTACGCTTCACCGGTTCAGCGGGAGATGATTATTTGGCGGGAGTTCGCCATTTTTCGCTTGATTATGGGTATCCACATGTTGCGTATCTCTACGCTAGCTTGGCTGAATACATTGTTGGACAACATGTATGCGTCTTCTTTGAATTTCCTCCAAAACCAGTGTTCTTCCCTGTGTATGATCTCAGCTTGAGACTACTCGATGTTATGTTGTTTTGCCCAAACATGCTCTGCTATTCCTGATTTGCTGGTTTCCCCTCGCTGTGTGTGTTTCTTGTACTCGGTAATGCGAACATTCAATGGCCTCTTAGTTTCACCAATATAGGATTTTTGGCACTCACAGGGAATCCGGTAAATTCAATTCTTGGAATCCCAGTCCGCGTTAGGTGGCCTGGTTTTCGTGAGGTTGCTACAGATAGTGTTTTCGTATCTGAAGCAGGTTCGGATGTTGTACTTGGACCCAATTATTATTTTTTGTTTGTATTGGTTCTTTTAGGGATTTCAAATCCTTTTATATATTATAAGATAATGGAAGTCCGAACTGATGAAATTCATCACGAAACATTGTCAATCAGCTTCAAACAAACCCTGAATGAATATATTGATTTCTCTATTACAGCAAACACGTTCGTAATGATAAGAGCCTGAATAAATTTATTGATTCAACTGTTTCAGCAGACATATTTGTAGTAATCAAACACTTATCTTAACAGAAATGCATTTTCCACCCCAAAGAGTCCCCAAAGGGCTGTTCAGTTTTCCAACACGTTTCTTACAGAATTTCGATTCAACAAGTACTTTAGTATATAGCATATAATATGCACTTTGGCTATAGTCCTATCGCAAGTCAAACATGTTGTTCCATACGTGAGACCAATATGAAAGATAACATAATGATGAAATCTAACCACTGGACTATCTTTGATGTGAGTTTCATGTTAATTTCGTAATAACTCTCAAGATATTGGTTTGAATTCTATGGTGTAACGGGCCTGACATGTTTGAGGTAACTAACTTTCATTTTCATTCATTTGATGAGAATCAATATCATATTCATCTGAATAGCTTTCCAATTACCACAATTAGCAATTTTCAACTAGAAAATCGATATAGTGAGCTATTTTCGGAAGATAGGCATATGTTAGTGCGGATTTTTCGTAGACCATCAAAAGAAGAACAGTATGTAGTAAATTGTTTCGTTGTATCTCAAAGTTTACGATAAAAGCTTTCTGGCTTCGCATAAGTAGCACCACTGCCCCGACTTCACACTGATAACATCGTCATATTGCAACCATCAATAAATAATACACAAAAATCTTTTTCTCAGATCAAAAGGGACCGTGTGAGCTTATCGCATTATTCAGACAGACTGATACGGTGGAAATAAACTTTGAACAAGCTCAACTCGAATTTTCCACCGCCATATACGTACTGTACATACCTGGGATACAGACAAACTCATTATTTTTATTGGCCAAACAAAATAAAAGGTTTCGCCTACAGCCGAAAGGAGTGTATTTACTCAACGAGGAACGTGTATTTCGCCATTACTTTGATCGGTCGAATTAAAAATATTTATGGCTGTCAGAATTTGATTTGTGGGGCTCGTTCGCGAAATTATAAGCCGTTTCGAATGTAATGCGGGATATGAAATACTGCCGATTTTTGGCCTAACTCAAATTGAGTTATTATTATCATTAGAGACGTACTTGATTGAATGTGGGCCTGAGGGGTGATGTGGTTTGCATACAGAACTTTAATGATTGACGTTCACCATGATGTTTGCCATTTAGATATGACTTTTCTGACTTTCCACTGTCTATTATCGGTTCCTATCTCCATAACAGAAAGCGAAAGATTGAATCAAGTGCGGCTTATTCAGATTATGTTAAATTGATAACAGGTGCACCCCAGAGAAGTATTTTAGGCCCCCTGTTTTTATAATTTATACAGCCGATATATTGGAATCAATAACCAGCTGTGATATTCAGGCATATGCGATTGATACTCAGCTCATATTGAGATTTCCTAGAAAAAACCTAATCAAATCTCAAAATAATATTAACTGGGACCTCGATGAAATTTGCCACGTGAGTACTTCGCATGATTTGAAGCTCAATTCCATGAAATTTAAATTAATGTTTTTTCTCTATAAAAACCCAAGATATGTATGTTGAAAACATACTAATAACCCGTACAGATGATGGTGTTTGGAAAAGATCAGCTACAGTTTGTCTATTGGTTTCTGATCAACTGAATGTATTTGTTCGAAGCCGTCTTTTTTTTTACTGGTTGATGTACTACTGCTAGAGATGTATCTTTGAATTCCGAACAAATTTGATAGCCTCAGAAATTTGAATAGATGGCTTATCATCTCATTGCTATTTTTTGGTGTCTTAAAAAATTATTTAATCCCCAAGGATTTTATTAACGACAAATTCTCTGGATGCTAATGTATCACAACAGTTCTGGAACGATTCAGAATTGTAGACTTTCGAAGGGAGGTCCAGGAATAATTGGCAAGAGCTCTCTGGATGCTAATCTATCACAGCCGTTGTGGACCAATTCAGAATTGTAAGCTTTCGAAGGGGGATCCAGGAATAATTGACAAGAGGCAAGGAAATTTGATGAAGAGTAGACCGTGAGAAGAGTGGACCGTGACCAACCATATACAGGGTGTTTATTCAACATGCGGCAAAAATTTAAGGGAATATCCCTTGGACTATTCCAAGGATATTCTGTCCTTTGATGAGTTTCGACAATAACAATTTATTATCAAAAATTACATGTAATGTTTCTTAATCTACAAGAACTGTTGAAAATGACTACACTCCGCTCTGATGTAAGAATCCAATCTTCTCCTCATCGACTCCCGTACTTTTTCAAAAACACCACGATCGTTTCTGATTGCGTTACATCCACCAAATTGAATGTCTGCAGCCGTTTGTAGTAATCGGAATGTTGTACCAATGAAATTGTTAGATAAAGGGATATATCACTGGATTATAGATCACTGCGTCGCGACTAATTCCGGAAACAGAGCTGGTATATCGACGGAACCAGCTCTACATCGACTCACGGAAAAAGCAAAAAATGCTCACAAGAACAAGATATTACTCTCTTGGATGCGCAGAAAAAAATAAGTTTACACAACCAATTACCAGGAGTACTAAAGGGAGGGATGTTTTCCCAACGGTTATGGAGGAGTAACTACGTTTACTGGATCCCAATAGATGGTAAGTACTGAGTTAGTGCAAAAGGTCGTATGTAAAAATTGTCCATTTTCATTTCATTTGTGCTAAAGGCGACATTTTGCAGCCTGCAATTGCTACAAAAATATTATATGTCATCAGCTGATCTATTATAAGTTATGGTTAAATGTAAAAAAGTCGTATGTTGTGCAGCAGATTTTTTTACTGCAAAAAGTCGTATGTATAATATAACCTTGATGGACAACAAAGAGGATAGGTTACTCACACGTGCTGTACGGAAGTTTAAGGACCTCCAAGACCTGAAAACTTGTCTTGAAGAAGATTACCTTTTTTTATGATAATCTCCGTTACAGCAATTGCTCAGAAACAATGTGCCCTCACATTATTACCCAATGAATCTGATCATTTTGAAAATTTATGATTTAATAGTCTCAAATCATTTCTAACTACCTCATCAGAAACATGAAAGTTGAAATCTGAAACAACTTCAACTCTCACGTTTCTGATACGTAAGCTAAAATTACGTCGAAATTTAAATGATTATCTTTTTCAATATTTATTGAATCAATTGTTTAATTTTTCTTTGTACAAAATTTTCAATAAAAGTTGTTCATAAATTTTTTAAATCTAATATTTCTTTCTTCTACTTTTTCTTCCAATATTTTTTTAATCAGTTTATTTGGATGTTTAAATATGGTTTTAAATTCTCCTTGGCTTGATAATTATCTTACAAATCAAGCGCGGAAAAATATGTGCCTAAATGCAAAAGATTGTATGGTTAATTTAGGCTCAAACATCAATGCAAAGAGTCCTATGTTGATATGCAAAAAGTCGTATGTCAAATTAAGTTTCAATTTGAAACTGAAAAAAGTTGTATGTTACTGTAATTATCTTATTTATCAAATTAATGTTTTGAAAGTTACATTATACATTAGTTACTATGGAAACAGCAGACAGAAATATAATAAATACTAATAATACTAATAAATCAAACGGAAATAATCAGTTTTTATGCTCCCCTGTAAAGTAATTAACTTTTACATACGACGTTTTGCACTAA